TAAATAAATTCCTTTCCTTTGTGATTTCAAACGGAATAAATAACCTGTCACCTTAAAGACCACTGCACTTTATCAGCTCTCTTTCTCATCGATTCGGGAGAATTCTTCAATGAAATCGATCTCATAGCGTTTTTGGAAGTTCTTATTGGACTTGGTGGGATTTCTTTTTACGCTTCAAGGTCTTTTACAGGCCACATTCCAAAAGATTACTGTAAAAAAAATAACTTGACTTCTGTTCTAAAGCAGTAAGTCTGACGTGCCGCCTTCTATCTCAGTTCAACTGAACGGAGAGTGTGGAATTAGGAGTGTTTAAAATGCATGAGCTGCTCAGTTCTGTCAGTTAAATTCACAAGTAGAATAAACTCAAGACCCTGACATCACAGAGGGTCTTTGGTTGCCTGGTTCACAGGGGAGATGCAGGCCCGTTTGGTTTGAAATGTACCAGGATGATGTGTTTGGAGAAAAGTCTTGAGTTTCTCAGATACTCCTGCAACATGTTGGATGACTTTTGTTCTTTTCCCTGTTCTGTCCTCGCTGATTTGACAGAAGCCCATTTGTGATATCCACAGGTTCAGAGAGCTTTGTTTGATGTGTTTCTGTTCTTTTTCCTTCAGTCTGATGGAGTAGAGTTACAGTTTCAGACTATAATTTGTCATTTTTTTTAAAGCTCTCCGATGAGCATTTAGCCTTTTGATCCAATCAGTGTATTTTTGATTTAAAATCAATTACAGTGAGTCTACATACTATGTGATTAGCTCCAAACATCATAATATCTATAATATGATGAATCAGCTTTCACATTATTGTTTGCTTGTTTAGCAGTAAATATCCCGACACTAAAGTGGACATATTCACTTTTTAGCTATTAAATACATTTTGTTGTGTACTTAGAGTATCTTTGAAATTTGTCTCAGTATATTCTACCATATTATAGCCTGATTTAACAAAGCCACTTTTACCTTACAGCTACTGGCCTACACACAAACACACACTGACTAGAGCAAAATGATCATCCACCTTTACCTTTCATGGCTGGGGACAATTAGGAGCAGTTTAAAACGTTTGCACCTCATCAGTCTCACCTAAAAATGCGTTCTGCTTTTTAAAGCTCGTTTGTAGTTTGTGCAATCGTTACTTCAGAACAAGAGTCCTGAAGCTTTCAGAGCGTATAAAAACATAAATTGTATGAGTCCCGACCACAGTTCAGTCTCCAAGGACATCACATGCATCACTTTCACGCTGAATAGAGAAGCAGCTTTTCTCTTGTGTCTGTCTCCACCTGATGCACGCTCATGCATCAGTGTTTCAGTAGATCTTTTCCTGCAGTCTCCCACTTTTTACTCAGCTTCTTTTGACTTCTAACCATGAGTAAGAGCCGGCAGTAACCTCCCCTTTTCTTTACGGTCGTCTCATTACTCAGTCAGAGCAGCTAAGTGGCCCTTTTAAATTGAAGCCCCCAGATGACCATTTAACCTTTATCACTCCAACACACTAACTGCCTCCATGGTTTCCAGGCTTTAATGTTGAATGTTTTTGAGAACTGACCCCCCGCTCCCCCCCGGGTTGGCCGCATCTTTTGGTGTTGTGCTCAGATGTCCTTCATTTCGACGTTTCAATCATTTCAAACTTGGCCGCACAAGTGGTCGACAGATTTTCTTTATTCGGGGCTTTTCAGAACAGGAGGTCTCATGATACATCACTTTTTAATAATCCAAAATGAGTTTAATAAGAGAAACTGCATTTACAGAAAAATTGTGATGTGAATGCTGAGTGTTGATAAAATTAAAAAGAAAAAAAATTGTATAGGTCTTCTGGACGGGTTCTTCTCTAATGAAACGTTTCGTCTCTTCTCCAAGAGACTTCTTCAGTCTGAGAGTTTCAGGCAAAATTCAGGCTTTTGTGATGTGACTGATAGTCACATCACATGGCTATCGTTGACACCTAATTAACATTTATTGTTAACAGGGGGTGGAGTGATACTGGCTATAGCCGCGCTGTAGGAGGAGGACAATTGAAAACGGAGGCCTCCACCTCTCCCAGACCCAAACCAGTGGTTATTCCGTATGTTGCGGGTGTTTCGGAGAAACTGAGARGTTTATTTTCTAAACATGATGTCCCAGTGGCTTTCAAACCCCAAAACACATTACGGCAAAGGCTGGTTCACCCCAAAGATACGGTGCCCCGGCACAAACAGAGCAATGTTGTATATGCTGTTAAGTGCCAGGAGGACTGCGACCAGTTATACATCGGGGAAACAAAGCAGCCACTGTTCTAAAGAATGTCCCAACACAGACGAGCTACATCTAATGGCCAGAACTCTGCAGTTTTCACACATTTACAGGCCAGCGGTCACTCTTTCAGAGATGAGGATGTTCTCATTCTTGATAGAGAGGAACGTTGGTTTGAGAGAGGAGTAAAAGAAGCCATTTTTGTGAAGAAAGACCGTCCATCATTAAACAGAGGTGGAGGCCTCCGTTTTCAGTTGTCCCTCTCCTACAGTGCTGCTATTGCCAGTATCACTCCACCCCCTGTTAACAATAGGTGTTAATTAGGTGTCAACGATAGCCATGTGATGTGAGTAGCAGTCACGTGGAGGCAGTGCTTAAAAGCCTGAATTTTGCCTGAAACTCTCAGACTGAAGAAGTCTCTTGGAGGAGAGACGAAACGTTTCATTAGAGAAGAACCCGTCCAGAAGACCTATACAATTTTTTTTTCTTTTTTGATTTTTTACCTGGATTATTGAGATGCATCAGGACACGTTGATAAAATTAGTTGTAGTAGCTGAGGCTTTCAGCTAAAAGAATCAGAACATTAGCTGAAAAACTTAAAAGAAGCAAAATGCATGAAAGACAAAAGTAGCAAAAAACTCAAAAGTAACACAAGGTTGTCTAGAGGCTAAAAAGATTAAAAGATTAAAGGGGCAATGTGTTTCTCAGGCATATATTTAAATTCTATACCATAATAAAAGTAATTATGTCACCTTCAGTTGTTATTAAAATGCTGTTTATGTGTTTAAATAGAAATTAAACTTGACTTCTAATCATATCTGTTTCTAAACACCCTGAAATTGGCCTCTTGTCTCTTTAAAAACCTCCTTCCGCTTCTGTCCCGCCCATTTCAGCATGGGCCGGGTGTGTGTGTGTCAGGGCTTGAGTGGGACTCATTTTCAACCCTGGAGTTTCATGCCTCAGACCGGCCCACTATAGATCAAGAAATATTATTAAAGTCATGTAATTATTACCTCTAAATCGTCGATGTTAGTGCACTGTTCTGTAAAGCCTTGTAATTCAGTGTATTTTACTAACATATTTCCAACTCAGTGCTAGTGGGGGTGTTGCTTTACAATGTAGATTTATATCAAAATAAGTGCACATCTCCAGCAATATTCTTTACAACACATCTTTTTCAACAATATCAGAATCTAGGCTGTATTTTGTTCTAATAAGTATTCAAACATTAAAAGTGAAATAAAAGAATAAATAAAATATTCAATTAAAAAATATAAAAAGTGATGGACTTTCTAATAACGGTATCATCTCTTTTTCCTCTACAAGGAAACAGTTCCACCATAACTTATGACAAATATGAGAACAAGTTAAATCTCTACATCATTCTTTACATCAG